CCACTGAAGCGAACCACCCTCCTTTCGTATTCCATTTCACTTGAACAACTTCTTCAAGCGAACCGATACTTTGTGGAAACCAACTCCCAAGAGAATGTCCTCCTCTCCCGATCACGACAATCTAAATCTGTTCAAATCTGATCTAAATCTAACCGTTATCTTCTCCACGTTTCTGTGGCCTTTATCCTGTAACCCTCTAATAAGCTTTTCGGTATTTTACACGGTAAACATTATTTTAAAAAAGAGATGCCTGTTGATTGTCGCAAGTCTTCTCGAATCTTCAGTTCCTTATTAAGCATCCTCGTAGACTTCCCCAAAACACCGTATAATCTCAGTTATTCTTTAAACTTCCAATTCTTCCAATCCAGAATGTTTTTTTTTATCGCTGCACCCACAAAGGAGATATCCACTGGATTTGCCTACGGACTACTAATATCTACCTACAGCCGCAAGTATGAACACAAACTTATGTAGACTTGTGCCGCTTTGATTACAAATAGTATAAGTTTAAATTGAAAATTTAAATTTCGGTTAAGGGCAAGTTTTTAGGATGTTTTAAGTACCTACAATTAAGAGTATGATTGCACCCGTGAATCTTCTATTCTGCTTCAGCTACGTATCTAGACCAAATTTAAAGAAGAATATTATAGGTCCTGACCTGGTATTACATCTTGAGTCACTTACCCACCCCCGTAATGTAGCTTCCCTGTGCCTTTTCTTGGTAACTGTTATGAAGAACTTAACACTTTAGTAACTTGGCTCTAAGAATTTTTGCGTTTTACTAGCTTGGAAGGTAGTTCAAATCATTTTACAGTTGAAATCTCTAGATGCAACCGGAAATTCTATGCTAAAATTTTCTTCTCTCGCACTTCTCTCTTGTGAAGTCCTGTGTATGATGATAAACTACATCAAGCAGCTCGGCATCTAATTGCGACATTGGAGGTTTTGAGGAAAGTGGGACCACCTCCTAATTGCTTTTCTTCCCAGGTTCAAACAAAAGCAAAACACCATGAAAGTATAAAAATACATTTTTTACAATAAAAATACCAGCAATACATTTTTGTATGAAAAATTACCAACATACATATTTATAGTAAAATTATGAAATTACTTCAAAGCACTCAAGATAATTACATTTTGACAGTAAATGACCAATAAGGACATGATCTGCCGTTAAACAAACAAATCAGTCAATCAATCTCCATTATGTACTTACTTCCGGCTTCTGGATATCCATTCAACTTTGATCTTCAAATATTTAATTGCAATATCTATCGTCATCTTTTGGTCACCTGAATCCTATTTACTTCCTGTCCTCACTCCTTAATAATGTTTTCTTTTTCACAGACTCTTTCTTTTTCTAATATTAACCTCCTGCATTTTAGTGGCTTTATCGCCTTGCTCGGGATGAAATGATTAAATAAAAATATAAACAGAAAAAGTATGAGGGACTAAATTGCAAAGCACAATATCGTATTGGAAACATTCCACACCAGTCTTGGTAAAAAAACAAATATACCCTTCAACAATGAAGCAGTCAGCTATAGAACTTTTGCTTCTGTATATAGGAAGACTCAAAAATGTTTCTCATATAAATGGGTCATCCTTTCTTAATTTTACGCCATTTTGGATAGAGTAATCTTGTAGTAAAGCAGATCTTTCAGAAAAGTGAAATGGTGAAAAAGGATTTCTCGTAAAATGTCTGGAGAGAGCTGGACCATCAGAAATAGATCCTGTAGCTACACCGACTGTACAAATGTAGGAGATTATAGCAAGGATCATTAAACTGGTGAGCTGAGCTCAAATTCCAGGTTAGTTTGTTGTTTTGTAGTGCCCTTTAATATCAGTACCAGCCCTAAATAAACCTTATATCAGCAGCAAATCTCGAAAAAACAAGTGAACCCTAAAGTAACTCTCTTCCGTTTTTCCTTCTTTTGAACTGTGTGACATGAACTTTGCACACTGGAGCTAAAAGGGCTCTGAACACTTCAAACTAAAACACACCAACACAGTAAGTTACACTATATTTTCTTCTGGCACCCCCACCCCGCAAAAACTCTCGTTTTAAACTTTCCTTTTGTTAATTTTATTTTAATAAATGTTATTCTTGTATTGCAAATCAATTTAGTAATAATTTTGTGCATGTACTCTATTTCACCAACATTATTTCCTGTACTACAAAATATTCTAGTAAGAAATTTACACATTTAATTATTGAAGTAGTAAGTACTAAAGTTGTTTTCTTTTTTTTTGTTTAGGGGCATATCAACCTCTATGCGTTATTTAATGCCAAAATCTAAATATTTTGTACGTAATTTAATGCTTTCAACTACAGATAATTTTATACTTTCAGGATAAAGGTATGTTTTATATATATATATATATATATATATATATATATATATATATATATATAGTTTAGAGTATCTACATTAGTCGGACTATTATCCTCATCTTTGTCGCCATATTTGTCACATTTGAAGAAGGCCGGAGCGTACAA